AGATGAAATCTCGATCGATGGATTAAGTGGAATCGACGCCTCGGGCGTTGACCGGCAAAGAGAAGTCAGGAACGGAGAGAGAGGAAGCATTTTTTAACGTGAATGAAATGCGAAATACTCGACGAATTATATTCCATCATTGTCGTGGCAACGGGAGCCATTGGCCTCTTCATTCAGAATAAGAACCCCTTCGAAATCTGATGAAATCTGACGTTACTTGGCACACTTGACGAATCATATTTTCGCAAGTGCCGTACAACGAAAGCAAAACGAAGAAGAACATCCATGATTCTTTTGTCCTCGAGGTACGAACTTCATTGGTCTGTGAAATCAAGAGATCTAAAGGGGAGGCTAGATTTTCATTGAAAAATTGTCGACATTCAAACTGCTGTTATTGCTAGACTACAGATTTCTGTGCATTTGTGGAAAATGCAAAATATATGAGACATCCAAAGTAGAGTATTCACTATAACGTTTCATTTTTTAGTCGCGTTTATAGAAATTTTAAAATACATAAAAATTATAATTCATAACTTCGTGAAAAAAGATCAGGCTTGTTTCAAAGCCTCTATTTTCAGAATCAAAATAGCTTTGTTCAAAGATCTTTCTTTTCACTGGCGGACAAATATAGATGCGTTCTCTTTCTGAAAATTTAAAAACGCCTCTATTAGGCGAAATTTTTTTCAAAATTAAAATTATCGTCAAACAGAGTTTGAAAATTGTACTCTGAATGAATAATCGTTGCGTAGTTTGACTTGTATCTCGTTATATCTTATATTAGTTAACACATACAAAATGACTGTTTCCTCATGCTTTGTACGAAACTATAACAATTCAAATATCGGAAAACTAAATTAAATTAAACCTTCTATTTTACAAACCAATGTATATAGTACGAGTCTCGTTTGGGAAATTTTTCAAATATTAAAGGATTTTGCCAACACGTCGAAAACAATTTATATATAATGTACGGAGAAACATGTTGTTTAATTTTCGATCGTCCGCACGGGCGTATCAATTTTTATTCCGGCGGGAGATAATCCTTTGTTGAATAATAAGAGGAAGGTGAGGAATAGCCAAAGGGGGATATGCAGATGAAGCAAAAAGAAAGGAATTCGGAACGAGTTGCCGTCACCACGAGCTAGTTGCGAAAGCTGCGGTAGCTACTTAACGTTACAGCTACTCTCGGCTTAGTGTTGTGTTCCAAGCAAAATAGCTTTTTGCAAAGTTTCCTTACGATAGTCATGGCACCACTGGTTGGGATGCGTCCAAGCTCGCTACAACGATCATCGCTTGCTGCACCGTGCGCTTCGTCGAACATCAAACACACGATGCAATCCTGCGGAGTTCCTTCGGCAATTTAGGTTAAATAATGTAATAAAACTGGCAAAACTCGGCCACGAAGCACCACACGTTGATGGATCCTTGATGTCGCGTCAATAAATAACGACGCACTGAAAAATTAAGAGGGAGAAGACCTTTGCGTAAACGATACACGGACCAGTCTCTCCGCTGTCTCTTTACATTTCTTTCGCCTGTGTGTGTGTGTGTGTGTGTGTGTGTGT